AATTAATGTAGAAGGAATGACGGGGCGGGGCGCGGTGACAGGGAGAAACCGCCATGTTTCCAAGCCCTAATGAAATAATGTATCCAGACAATGATTACTAATGGATAAAATCATTAGTTGAAAAAAAAACTGATGAGGGAAACTTCACAACAAATCTTGAATATTATTTCCTGAAGCTGTTGTTGAAACTGAGCACCACTGAAGGAGGGAAACAAGACTGCACGGGCCTCCTGAGGCGATGTGACGTGAGGTAGCATGGATGCGGAATTCTCATCAAAAAGTGGGATCGGGATCCAATCGGGCCTCTAAATCTAATTGGCAGATTCTAATATTCTGGGTGGGAGAGAAAAAGGTTAAACAACAATCAGCCAAACCCAGCACGCGGATCATTCTATTGCTCAGGTGGCTTGGTTTCTTCAATAAGTAAATGACTTGAAAAAGGGGGAACCCTCTAGATAAAAGAAACTTAAGAGGCTCAATAGCGAAATGAAATGTATAGACTTTGGATCTGATGTAAATAAACCAACTATAAAAAGACAATTTTGGGAAATGTGATAGAGAAATCTGAGTATGGAATAAGGAGGGAAGGATATCAAAGGTTTTCATTCACATTGTTGGGTGTGGCAGTGGGACCACAGTTTTGCTGAAAGTGTGCACAGCAACAGATGCTCACTGGAGCACGTGTGTTGTTATGACCCGTCTACCTCTACAACCTCAGGGGAAAACCGGAAAGGGTCAATGAATCCAGGCGGGTGCACCTGGGAGTTCACCAGACTATTCTCTTTAACTTTGTATAAATTTGAAATTTTTCTAAATGAAAGGTATTTCCTAAAAACTAGGAAGAAGCCATGGCTAGTGTGGCTCAGTGGATTGAATGCCAGCCTGCAAACGAAAGGGTCGCTGGTTCAATCTCTGGTCAGGGCCAGGTCCCCAGTTGGGGGTGTGTGAAAAGCAACCACACACTGATGTTTCTCTCCTTCTCTTTCTCCCTCCCTTTCTCTAAAAATAAATAAATAAAATCTTTCTAAAAAACCTAGGAAGGAAATCAAATACAATGAAAAATGTTTAAAAAAATAAAACCCCCTGTAGTATTTACAATAGCCCAGATCTGGAAGCATCCCAAGTGCCTATTAGCAGATGAGCAGATAAAAAAGCTGTGGTGCATTTGCACAAGGAAACATTACTTGGCCATAAAAAAGAAAGAAATGTTACTCTTTGCATCACGTGTGGACCTGGAGAGCATCACACTAAGTGAAATACACCAGTCGGAAAAAGACAAATACTGTATGGTTTCACTCATATGTGGAATCAATGAACAAAAAAGCTAATAAACAAAAATAGAAACAGATTCACAGATAGAACAGACTGACAGCTATCAGAGGGGAGGAGGGTCGGGGGCTGGATAAAAAGGTGAAGGGATTAAGGAAAGAAAGACAAACCTCACAGACACAGACAACAGTGTGGTGATTACCAGAGGAAAAGGGGGTGGGGGAGGTAACAGAGGGTAAAGGGGGTAAATGGTGATGGAGGGAGACTTGACTTTGGATGATGAACATGCAATACAATATACAGAAGATGTATTATCGAACTGTACACCTGCAACCTATATAATTTCATTAACCAATGTCGCCTCAATAAATTTAATAAAAAAAAAAAGTGTTCATAAGCAAAACAAAATAAAAATCTTTCTTTTTCCTACTACTTATATATGAAACCCTCAACATGAACAATATTATCCTTTTTACCCTTAATTACTTCTTCAGTTCTACTTTTACTGGATATGCACTTAACATATACTTTATTTTTCAAATCTGGCCTCAATCTTTCTGACGTTTAGGTGACTCGTTTTTCTAAAACCCCACCCACCAGATTGAGACTGACAATGCCCAGGGGAGAGCTGGTCCAGTGCACAAAGTCTGTATCTCGACAAATTCTTTCCTGGTCCCTTGCTCTCAATCTTTTTAATAGACTGAGAAGGAAATGTCAATGCCTTCTCACTCCTCTTTCCTGGAGAGAAGAGCTGGCTATGGGCCTGCTACCTCCCTTTCAGCCCCTGTACCTGATTAGAGTTCGGTGCCTCTTGAACAGAAGAGACTCCCTTCAACCCAAGAGACAGAGAAAGAGGAACAGCCAAGGAGGAGGATGGGGCAGGCCAGACGGCATCTGCGTTGCCAGCTCTCGTTGGTTATTCTCTCCATCTCCACTACCTGAGGGATGCGTCTCATGATCCTCGAAACAGATAAAAAGCAGTATAAATACCTGCTCCCTTGTCACATGGGGGTTCAGTACTCTTTATCCTCTTCAGTTTTTGCAGAACCATGTTATACTGGCTGACTGGTGAGCAGGTTTTCTGAATTCACCTGTCTTACCACATCTCTACCCATTTTATATGTCAGTAATGGCTCCCAAGCACTTCCTATTTTGGTTCCACTTTTTTTAGTCCTAATTATCCTTTCTCAGGGATTTAAGTGAAATGGAATGTGAGGCTGATAATAGGAACTCTAAAAAAAAAGATAAAAGGCCTTTCTGAAACCATTTCTGAGTATACAGGCATACAAACTAATTCCTATGACCAAAGAATAATAAAAATAGATGCATTTCGCTAAGGAAATGAGGTACCGATCACCTGCTTTTTCCTTTTAAAGAAGAGTTTAATTTCCTTCTTACAACCCAGCAAATGCGTGGAAACAAATTTCCAGTTACTTTATTTCCGTGAACTTAAACCTGATAGTCAAAGGGACTCACGTACATTTCATCTTTGTGTGGGGTCAAGTATCAAGAGATCCGAGGCAATACTGACATAAGAGATTCCATGAGATAGAGCCAAGCAATGCAGCCAGAAGGAGAGCAAAGTACTTGAAATAAACATCTAACCCAGCTAGCCTTCCTTCCTGTTTGCTTCAACACTAAAAATGGATATCCCAAGGCTTGAAATCTGCTTAAGTAGCATGTACTACCCGTTTGAACTTAAATGGGTTGCTGGGATAAGAACTGCTGTTTTGAGACAGAGTCAGCTTCCCCCCATTCGTAAACAATGATTTAGCTAATGCAGGCATAGCAGTGCTGTGCCCATAAGGACCCTGTGATCTGGAATGCTCTCATGACTGAAGCACTTTGTTATTATATGAAAGTTTGATTCAGTATCAAATTGGCAGGAACATGACTCTAAGTAATTCAGTTCCCAATAATACATAGTCACCCAAGGTGGGGAAGGAGAGGTGTTATGATTAACCACGGCCCACTGTGCTTGAGGGTGCACCTGACCCCACGGAGACTTCTCAACGTCCAAGGCCTGAGTGTATACACAGCACACACATTGCATGCTGAATCTCTGTGGTGTCCAGAATGAGTAAAGGGCTAGGAAATGAACTCTAAATCCCTACAAGTGTCATTCAAACAAAAAGCCACCGTAGTGAATCTGCCTTACTTGCCTGGGACCAAGAGAGTCAAATCAGGCAACGGAAGCCTTAGTCACGACAGCTCAGACTCTGAAAGGACAACCTCAAGGTCCAGAAAGAATGATTCACACTTTATCATTGTCAATCAGATTTCCAAACTACGAATGATGGAGCATCTGATTTTGGAAGAATCTTCCTTCTTTATAGGCAAGCCTGGCAGGTGTCAGCTTAATTTCAGAAAGCAAGCATTCTCAAAGTATATACAGTTTAAAGAAAATAACAAAACGCCAGAAGAGAAAAAGACTAACAGTGTTATGTGTAAAGTACACGGGAGTTACTCCATGTAAGAAGAAATGAATGCTTAAAGCAGGAATTTTGACCACAAAAGCCTGCAGGTGCCAGGGAGGTAACATAAATCTCTAAGGCTGGTTAGGTTAAATATTTAGGGAACAATACAGCTTAGCAAATTTCAGCCCTTGGAATAGTAATGAGACCAGATAGTTAATCTTCCAAAAGAAGCCAGGTATCTGATTTCTACGTGAAGTTCCCAGACTGTCCAACAATGCTGGCAATTAATTCAATTTTAAAAAAGAAAATGTTCACAAGTTTAAAAAAATATAGTCTACAATTTGCCCTGAGGGCCACCAGTTTGCAAGCTCTGCTCTGAAATGTAACTTTAAATAATGCAGCAATAAACAAAAGGCTTCTTGCATAACAAGGTTTACACCAAATCACTGCTCTTTGGTTTCTGCCCTACCCAGAGGGACCAGTCCACACAAGGAGAGGGCGGGAGTGGTACTGGAATACCTGGGAGCATTTCCCAGATTACAGATGTCTGAACTATCACCACCACCACCACCAGCAACCCCGTCCTAGGGCAAGTAAGAGGGATACACAGGTTATAGACGCTCTCCAAGAGCTCCAGTGGGGCAGGCTCCCAGAAAGCTTTGTATAACTAGAAGGGGTAAGTTCAAATTGTGAAGACGGAAGTCACTGAGCCTAAGATGTCAAACAGCACATGTGCTGTGGCTCTGAAAATAACTGCAAATATCAAGGATGACAAGTAGCCTATAGTACCCATACATAGTAACTATTGCTTGTATCATGTTAGTTATTTCAGTCTCGTGGGCAAAAAGAAAACAAGCAACCATTTACCTGTTCACTTGGAAAGATTATAAAAAGAAAATGAATGCATTTTAAGAATGTGTGCAGGTGTACGCAGGTGGGCTTGTGTGCATAAATGCATACAAAGAAAGCATTCTCAGCCTTAGGTCTGAGAACCTGGTGCTAGGTTCTTTACTCAAGAAGAAAAGAGGAGTGTCTTATTTCCACCTGATGCTGCCATGCAGGTAGACGGACGTGAATGAATACTTCGGCATATTTTCTACAATACTTCCTATCCTTAAAACAAAAGCAGAACTTTTTACTCAGATGGCTAAACACAACCAGGATTACTATGTTTTGTAGATCTGATATGCACATGAAAGGAATACAGAAACACCTTCCTGTGATTTGGTAATGCCTCACTAACGTTCTGCTGTTATTAAGTAACCCCTCATCCAACATCGCTTTTGCTTTTAAGCTGGCATCCTCCTGGCTCACCTTGTAACCGGGAATCCTTCTTTCAGGTTAGCTTTAAGGTAAAAGCTGTTTGACGTGGTTTATCCTCAGATGGCTGCAGCTTTCTCCTGGGAACTCTACTGACCCTGCTGGGCTTATCTGGTAAATTGCAGGAGTGGCTCCTTGATTTCCTTCTCTTGCTGTTTTGCAGCAGGGGGCAGAAGCTGAAAAAGAGAGATTACAGTCATGTAGTACATCTCCACAGGCCATTCGGGAGCCTCTGGAGGGCGGGGCGGGGGTTGGGTTACTGCCTTGGGCCAATCAGAAGCTTTCTTCCAATTTATCTTCTGAGGAGGAAGTTCATGGGGGTGTTTCAGCTTCCTACCTCCTTGGCCCATTCTTATGTCAGCTCCAAGACACAGCCACTGTGTTCCTCAGCAATGAGCAACATTGATCATTTGCTCTCACTCAGAGTTTGGAGTAAGAAAACTCTCAATTTACATAGCAAATACTTTCTAAAAGGGGGCACGTATATTTTCCAGAAATACATTTAACCTGCCAATTGAATATAAACCTCAGTTTTTAAAAACAGTAAGTATAAAGTGGTTTCATCACATACATATAAATGGACAATACCTATGCCTTGATAAAGACCCCTTAACAGTCTCTAATGAGCTCTAGAACTAGGAGTAGTAGCCCTAACTCCTAGAACAGTCCTGTACCAGAAATCTGATCACACTATCAAAGACAGTTTCTCAGAAGGAAAAGAAACAGTGTTTTATGAGAAGATAAAATAGGCTCACTTTAAGGAAAAAAGGAAAGAGAAAATCCTGAGAACAAACCCAGAGGAGAAGCTAAATGTGTTACTCCCTGGCCCTGCGATGTGACAGCAGTTGCTCCTCAAGCCTCTCTAGCAGGCCAGTCTCTTCCCAAGGAAGCTTTAGAAATGACTCCCGGGGGCAGGAGGTTGGGGGGGGGGGGGGGGTGCGTAATGGAGACAACTATACTTGAACAACAACAAAAAATTTTAAAAATTAAAAAAATACTTCCTAGATCTGATTACTTTTCCAACTTACTCTTTCATTCTGTTTGTTTTCCTCTTTTTACTTATGGAGAAAAAAAGTAAATACACATACATATTCTGAAAGATTATGACTTAATAAAAGTGCAAAAGATTTGTCTACTCAATATCCTATGCTGTGAACACTCTTTTAAGCACCATTTTTCTGCAAAAAAAAAAAAAAGTATTTCTTTCTAGACCCCCCTCCACCCCCTACAATTTTTTTAAATCTCTACTATACAGTAAGACAAGTCCATGCATCTTGTAGGTCCCTAAATAAAATCTAACTGATGGCTATGATGATGATATAGAAGAACTAAGGTTAGGGTCCATCATGATCAGTTTTGTATGCTCAGCATTAGATCTGTTTAATTTCAGCAAACTACTCAGTCTCTGCTCTTTAACCCCATCTACTTATAGGCAGAACAAATATGAGCGGTCAGCTACTGAAACTCTCATACCTAACCTTTTTCCTTTTTCTTTCCTATCACAGACCCTGCCAAGTTTTCGAAAAGCCGAGAATACTAACAAAAGCAAATAGAAGGAAAATGTGGCAAAGAACCCCCTTGCTAAAATGCAGTTCTTTTTGCCGACATCCACCCCCATTCGTTCTCCATAACTTCGTACCATCTGATAACGGCAAGTGAGAAGGTGAAGGAGAGAAGACCACGGGGTAAGACCAAGGCTTCCTTTCTGTCTCCATTCCCCCCAGTCCCACAGCAGAGGAGAGGGAGAAGGCCGGGTGAATACAGCTGCCCACGCCTAAGGAATTCCCTCTCCTTTCCCCGTCCCACACATGTCGCACACACTGCGTGTCCTGTCTCCAGCCTATGTAAACCACACATTGGCCCAAGAAGCAATTCTCCACTTCAGTTACCCCTTTCCCCATACTCTTTGCCTACACATCCTTCAAAATCCTGCTCAAAACCACAACTCTCAGTTCCTTCCTAGATCTTCCCTGCTAGAAAGAGGCAGCTTCTCATGGCCCCTGGCACTTTGGTCCGTTCTACTGGTGTGAGGTGGTTCTGGTCAGACATGTTTCTTATAACTCTTACCTCCCCTACCAGACTGTGTGGCCCCTGGGAGCCAGGGACTGGAGCTCAGTTCCCCGCACACAGTACGTGTGAGTTAAAATATGAATTTACAAGGCTTCCAGTTATACCTATTTATAAGAAATCAATCTATTCCATTGTGCACAAAAGTATGTGCTTTTAAAATATTTTATTTGTTTTTAGAGAAAGTAGGAGAGAAACAATGATATGAGAGAGAAACATCGATCAGTTGCCTCTCGAATGCCCCCAACTGGGGACCTGGACTGCAACCCAGGCCTGTGTCCTGATTGGGAATCGAACCAGTGACCTTTCATTTTACAGGAAGACACCCAACCCACTAAGCCACACCGGTCAGGACCAAAAGTATGCATTTTTACACAGTATGTACACAATGCCAAGGAATAAGGGTTTGGGCTTGTTCTGAGACTATTATTAACATTCACATGAACCTTCTGTGCAACTTTCAAAAAGATAACCACAATAAAGCAAAGTCCCTTCTATAGCCTTTAAGGGGGCTGATGACTCTGCATAAAAAATTACCATACCGTCAATACATGGTTCAGATATAATCAATCATCCCTGAGAGTTACTGAAGCCAGAAATACTAGGAATATTCATTTCAATTCAGCTTGAAACACTTGATTAGGGCAGAAGGATTTATGTTATCACATTCAAATTCTAAATTTCCAGGTGACTAATATATTGTTTTATTTATAAACCAGGAAGTTAACCAAGTGGCAACTAAACTTTATTTCAATTAAGAAACTGTACAGAGTCTCGCTTTACCTTGCATGTAAACTGTGTGCAGGGCAGAAGTCCAAAGGCACTAAGCTTATAAAGTCCAGGTCTGGTTACACCTTGTGACAACACAGACTGAAGATAACTTCTCGAAGCTCTTGTTAAGAAATAAACTCAGGGAACAGAAGAGGTTGTTTCCTCTTAAAACTATAACCAAAATTGATGCTTGAACAAAAATTATACCTGTTTTTTTATCAACACACACAAAAAGAATCATGTTCTAATTTAACGGCATCCTTTGCAGACCAAAAAGGCTCCTGACACCCTCCTTCTAAGCTATAAGCTATCAATAAACTAAAAGTTGTAAAGGTTGGACAGGTTGAGTTGAACAAAGTCTCCTGTACCAATTGGTACTCCAGGAGAAGTATCTGCAAAATATCATCAGGGGTGTTCAGTGATTTGGCAACAGCTCCTTCTGAATGGCTCATTCAGGAAGCAAATGATCCATTATCTTTGCAACAGAATTTTTCCTGTAAGTTGCGTGACTCATCCTCCCACAGCCCGAATTCTGCCCATTGTACAGCATGTTCTTGCCCAGCACACTCCCCACACACTCCACTTGTTTCTTATTCAAGCCTCTCAGAGCACATGTCGTATCCACTGAAGACTAAACTGTCCTGGGTAGTTACTAAGTTAATGCACAGAATGCAAAATGTATGTAAGATAAAGTAAACTCCACCACTCTGTAAAATACTAAAGGAAAGATTCTCAAAGTGGTAAAGACAGTAAAGACAACCAGAATAACCAGACAAGCAGTATACAAAGTTAGCAGTCTACACAGCAAAGTCCATTTCACTATAAAAATAAGAGACAAAGACACTTCTGACTATTTTCTGTTATGTGGCCCCTGCCTTTGATTCAACGTCAATTCATTTCCATGAAAAATGAGTCTTAACTTAGGGTTAAACATTCTAAATTGTTTTCCCAGAAAACTAGTCCAAGACGTAGTAAAAGACACCTTTCGACATGATCTTCCTTACCTTGCCTACTGTAACTACCAAGAACCTTGAAAAAATTATTATTTTGCTTTTTTTCCCACTGGCAGCTATGTTTAGACAAGAAATTGCCTTTTCTCTTTCTACCTGTGACAATCCCAAACACACTGAGTTTCTACAGTGTGTCTAAGTCCTGGGAGAATACAGTTTTAGCACTACAACCCAAGAGAGTTCATGGAAATAGGCTGTGCTGGGTAACTTCCTGAAGATGAGAAGCACCTACTCCTGCCACTTTCACCCAGCAACCACTGTGGCAAAAGTCAATCCCTGACTTTTAACCTGGAAATTTATCTAATCTCATTAGTGCTACCATATATCAAAGGAGTTAAAATTCACTGGGTACAATAACAGAATTTTCATATCTGCCATTAAGTATTGATTTTTCCACTCAACAATAAGTCAGTTATTACACACAAACATTTAAGTCAGACACTAAGGAAAAGAGAGTCAAACCTCAGTTCTTGAATGTCTCCAATCTTGAACAATTTGGTTCTCAACCATTGTTCACAGGGGTGTGGGGCGGGGGGGAAGGTGTCAGTTGTAGAACAAAACTTCAGTTCTTGACCCAACAACCCTTTCATGCTGATACCTGTGTGACCAGTCACCTGTAAGATTCAGTTTTTGAACAAACTGCATCTTGAACAGCCTTCTGGAATGAATTAGTTGGAAAACCGAGGCTCCATTGTATTGAAATGTAATAACCAATAAAAATACAGCTCTTCCCTTCATTTTTGTTGATTGCTTTTATATTTAGAATTCAGCCATAGATAACAGTAAAAAAAAAAAAAACATGAATAATCTTGTTAAGATACAAAAGCAGAAAATGTGCCGTGGATAGTTACGGCATGAGAATATTAATTCCAGCTTGAAGTCTGTAAGTTGGGTAGGAAGCAGATCAGAGGAAGTTGCTCAAAAGAGAAGGCATCTGAAAAATGAGTAGATTCAGGCAAGAAATAAAAATCAGAAATGGATAAAGGATATTTCAAACAGTGAGGAAAACTATATGAAAATCAAGAGAATGGAAAAGTGCAGAGGGCAGTTCCAGCACCCAGAGTCCAGGATAACGGCGGGTGGGAGAGAGAAGGGCAGAAAGGAGGGTTGGAACAGTGTGGAGGGTCTCCAACGCTGGTGAGAGACCAGATTTCAGGGGTGGCATTTGTTGAGCCAGGGAGTCGGTCACGTGGTTATTCTCCGGGAAGGCAGCACTAGGAGAACAAATGGGAAGAGAAGCTGGAGGCGAGAAAGGACCTCAGAAGACATTAGCAGCTCCAAGGGGGGCAGGGGCAGAACAGCTACCTGGGCAAGTGGGCATCCAGGAG